TATGGTACCCAGAAAAGGGGTCTTTAAAATTAACTGATTGGGAACGTATAGGGAAAACATTGCACACTGAACCTCGAGCAAAAATAGAAGTTGTGTGGCATTTATGTAGGCATGCAATTGAAAAATTTGGTCACAATGAACTTTCTCTTTTAACACCTCCACCTTCACGTTATACTAATGCTGTCATTTGTCCCCCTTCTTCACCTGAATATATGTCTTCAATTCCCTCAGCTCCTGTAGATACAGGGCAAAAGCCTCCTGACTCTATTGTTCAGTCTTCTTTTCAGAAAATGGTAGAGACTTGTAAAAGGGATACCTCTGTCTCAGGAACAGAACTTGCAGAATTACTGTCTGTTTGTCCAGTACAATATCGTCCTGGTCAGGGGCCACAGCTTGGACTGCAAGTAGCAGAATGGGAGGGTCTGCCTTATCAGATCTTAAGAGAGTTAAAAAAGGCAGTCACAGACTATGGGATTAGTGGTAATTTTACAAGAGGACTTGTAGAAGGAATAAAAAATGGTTATACAACGATCCCTGAAGATTGGAAGCAAATATTTCGCATGATTTTAACATCCATGCAATATGTGGTTTGGGAGAGTGAATATATGAGACATGCTCAAGCTGCTGCTTTAGGAGGGGGAGGAGCATATACAGTTGAGCAGCTATTTGGTTCTGGACCATTTGGTACAATTCCTACTCAAGTTGTTCTTCCTCCAGCTACGTTAACTATTGTTTCTGAATGTGCCTTTCGTGCTTTTCTTAAGGTACCCCAAGCTGGAGAACCTGGAGCAAATTTTTCAAACATTCGACAGAATGCCAATGAGCCTTATGCTGACTTTGTTGAGTGTCTGTCCAAAGCAATTAGACAGCAGTTTTATCATCAGGAAGCTGCTGGTGAACTTCTTCACCAGTTAGCTATTGAAAATGCTAATGCAGATTGTAAAAGAGCTTTACAGCCATTAAAGGCTACTGCTCATTACACTCTGGCAGATATGCTGCGAGTCTACCAGGATATTGGATCACAAACTTATAAAATGCATATGTTAGCAGCTGCTATTCAGAAAGGACAGCGACCAATTGGTAACTGTTTTAAGTGTAAGAAGCCTGGCCACTTTCAGGACTGTCGTTCTACACCTTCTATGCTTCAGAATCGTCCTTCTAAGAAGTGCCCTATTTGCAAAAAGGGTCATTGGGCCAATCAATGTCGGTTTCGGTTGGGAAACTTGCCAATGGGTGTGGCACCCACCCAGAATCCAAAGCGTGCCTTTCCCATCACTCTGACTCCTCCAGCAGTCTCTCTCACTCCTCCCCAGCCACAGCTGGTAGCGCTGGGATCGATTTAATCACTCAAGAGGAAATTGAGTTTAAATTTCCCATGGAAGTTAAAATAGTTCCATCTCAATTTAAAGGTCCTCTTCCTTCGGGATTAGTTGGCTTAATTTTGCCTCGTTCTTCTGCACACAAAAAGGGCTGTTTTGTTGTGCTTGAGGTAATAGATTCAGATTACACTAGTATCCTCATGATTCAGATTTGGGTGAATCTTCCTCAAGTTCTTCCTTGTAATTCTTCTGTTGCTCAATTGCTTCTTCTTCCATATGAAAATCCATCTCCTGGTATAGGTAATCGTTGGGATGCAAGATTTGGATCAACTTCTTTATCTGTAGGCTTACTTCATCAGCTGAACTCCTCTCATTAACGCTCTTCCTTAATAAACAACCATTTCAAGGGTTATTGGATACTGGAGTCGATGTTACTGTCATCTCCTCTTTACAGTGGCCAGTACAGTGGCAAAAAACGACAGTTTCTTCATTGTGGGGAATAGGAGGTTCTACAGCTGCTTGGCAGAGTGTTCAAGAAATTAATGTTACAACATCTGCTGGTAAGTCCTTTTTCCTACAACCATACATTCTAGATATTCATACTAATATTTGGGGCCGTGATATCCTTTCTCTTCTTAATGCCCATTTGATTCTTGATGATGGCTCTTCCTCTTAAATGGCTCTGTTCTACGCCGGTTTGGGTGGAACAATGGCCATTATCAAGGGAAAAACTCGCTGCTTTACAACAATTGGTTCAAGAACAATTGGCTGCTGGTCATATAGAACTTTCTACTAGTCCTTGGAATACTCCTGTTTTTGTTATAAAAAAGAAAAATGGGAAACATAGAATGTTGCACAATTCCTCCATTCCAATTCTTCCTGAATTACAAGTACAGAAATCATATACATTAGTACAATGGCAAAAATTACTTGGCATTATTAATTGGGCACGCCCATTCTTCTACATTAAAACTGGTGATATGTTGCTCTTATTTCAGTCTTTGAAGGGAGCACAATCACCAGGAGATCTAGTTGTATTAACTGATCTTCAAAGAACATGCCTTCAAGAAATATTGAATAGGTTTAAGCATCGATATGTGGACAGGATAACATCCTTAACAATAGGACTTTGCTTAGCTATTCTTCCCACTACACCCTTACCCACGGGATGTATTTATTCTAATGTGTCCCCGCAAGCGGTCAACATTCATGAATGGATTAATTTGTCAGCTACTCCGCCTAGAAACATTTATCCTTATCAATCAGCATTAGAGGATTTGATTATTAAAGGTCGTAAACAAGCCTTACATCTTACATGACAGGATCTCATTAGCATAGTTTTCACTCGTACAAAAGTTGAACATGAGCATTTGATGATGATTTCAGAATCATATCAGATAGCCTTTTCTCAATATGTGGGAAACTTGTTGTATTCTTTACCCAAGGATCCTAGAATAGTGGTTACTACTACTTTAAATCCGGCCTTTTCTTCCATTTTTGTGCGAAATCCTATTTCTAAAGCTCTTACAGTCTTTAAATTTATTGTCTCACAACTACAATCTATTTCACACTCCTGGCTATTTTCTACACCCCCTATGCAATTGAATTCTGTCCGTTGGCGTTACTTGAAAGTTAGTCAATTTACAAGGGGTCTGTGTTTCTGTTGTCACGCTAAACACACTTGGCTTCATAATTGGTCTGATTATGATGCTGCTCAGCACATATTAAAAAGGCTAGGGAATTATAGTTATTGTTCTGACTACTATTGGTTGTCAGGTACCTTTAATTCTTCTTTGCATGGAATTAATATAGCTCCTGATATGTATCCTGACAATTTTCCTATTTTTAATGCCTCTGATCAATCTAATACAGGATCAATATGCGCTGGTTGGCAGCTTAAGGATGCTAATATGTGGTTCTTTTTTGATAAATATGCTACTAATGTTCATCCTCAGAATTATCAATGTGCAACTATAGGTTATTTTACTCTACCTGTTCAAATAGGCACGCTCCCATCAACTCGACAGCGGCGTTCCTCTCTTGGGCCTACATGTAATGATGAAGTCATTATTGACACACAATTGTCTTCTGGTTCTACATTTGGCCATGCATTGGCAGGGGCCGTTACAGGAGTCCTTACTCTAGGCTCTTATCCTGGCATAATTGCTCAAGAAAACAGACGATCTATTCTTGGTCTCACCTGCAGACTTGAAAAATCCATCAAATGCTACCGTTGCTATTATTTGTGATTTGCAGCATGAAATAGAAGACTTAAATCAAGATGTCTTACAGCAGCGTTTTGCCACAGACTATCTTTTAGCCTGTCAGGGAGGGTTCTGTACGTTAGTTGGACACCGTGGATGTGCTGTGCATTTTCATTCTTTGAATAAAACTATTGAGGATGAGCTTGCCAATTTACAATCATACATTCAAAATAATATCCATGCTCATTACTCACCTTTTGAGTGGCTAACCAATTGGCTCCCTGATTGGTCTTGGCTCAGACAGTTTTTCTTTTATGCTATAATTATTATTATTGTACTAATTGCAACCTGTTGTTTTATTCAATGTATTCCCAATTTATTCGCATTGTTTCGTCCTGCTTCCCCCTCTCTTAATCCTCTACAATTGCGATACATTTATAAATCTTTGAATCCTCCATTTAAAATAAAAAAACGATATGTAGAGTTGTAATTGCAGGAATGTTCCAATCTCGGATGGCAAACCTCAGATAAAGAATGTTTCCAAGCAAATACAATTTAGGTAAACAAAGTCACTAATCTAAAGGAGGATTAGAGAGAGGAAGTAAACATATGTTAGACTTTAACTAGAGATAATTAATTGTATGGATTACTGTGCAAAACAGTAACGAAAGTTAAGCAGTAACCAAAGTTAACCAATGATGGAGGATAATTAAAAATGTGTATAAATGCAAGACTAGATTCCAATAAAGATCATCATGATTCAGTTATTCATGATCAAACAACTCGACTGCCTCGTCATTACAACAATCATTTTTATTTTCATGTTTTTATTTTCATGTTTTTATTTTCATGTTTAAAATGTGAACATTATATGTCTCTGGAAGAAGCATATGTATTAAGTAATACAAACTTAAAAATAATTAGTAATCCAAAGACAAATCAGGCAAGCTAAATTAGTAGTGCACTGTTCAGTAAATTCCACTAATAATAAGGAACTATGAAATGTGTAGTGAAAGAAATATGCCAATAGGTGAGCAAAAAGGTGGGCACAAACATATGAAAGTCAACCACATCTGTGACATCCTTGGTGTCCCAGATCCTTTTGTTGGTCCAGGTTCATCCCAGATGAAAAGAGTTTGAACTAACATTGTAAATGCTTCCTTTCCCATGCCATGTGGTCTCCATCCATATTAGGCTTTGTGAAGCTATTTTTGTACCTTACATCTATTAAGGTCGATTAAACCGAAATGTAAGAAGTTAAAATGGCAAGCCATCTAGCTGATCATTACAAACTAGATGCTAAAAGAGTCGTTTGTGGGGCCCTCTGCTGCAGCTGGCAAATATACATCCCCTAGCAACAGGACCAACTCATACCTATGGCAATGTTGGGAACAAGGCAAAGTGTGTCATGTGCTCTTAAATTCAGTTTTCTGATTAATCATTGACATGTTCTAAATTTGAAGTGTGTTAGGTTTTTTTAGCACATTTCAAAACTTGCTGTATACTTGTTTAAAGGAGTCATGACAGCTTTGCTTTTACCTCGGTCCTTCCCATTCTGCATCTTGTCCTCCTCTTCCTCCTCCTCACCTCCTTCCTCTCCCCCTGCGACACAAAAAAGCCAGCGGCAATGAGAAAAAGTGAGGGGCCAGCAAGGGAGCAGGGAGCTGTAATGGCAGGAGACTTAAGAAACTCTGCTACTCTTTCCATGGGTGACTCAAGGTGCAATGCCTTCTTCAAGATGGCATGACCAACAGACAGAGAGGGTCTGGATCTCAGGTTCTATCTGGGGCCCAGAAGCAAAGAACTTTCAACCAGATTGGGAGAATCAAACATCATTTTAACAGAAAACAGAATCCTGAAATTAAAAGAACTGAATGGTACATTCTACAAAGGATACATTACAGACCTCTTAAGCTTCCTGAGCAAAGGTTGCATCAAATAAATTAAACAAGATTCTGAAGATTGAGTGGATTCATCCAATAGGGAACGCTCTGTACATACCATGTGTGCTGGTTCAAGTTATATTGTAAAATTTATTTCTTAAAATGTGCACTATGTAGACACTTTCCTAAGTACAGGGCAGAAAGGAGTTGGGCGATGAGCTGGAATATATGTAGAATTTGGTGGATATAAAGTTGGAAAGAACAAGAAAAAGGAAATATCTCACAAAAGGGGAACAAGACTGTTATAAAGAAAAGAGAGGCTGTTTTTTCAGAGTAATAAGAGGAATGTACAAGTGCAACTTTATTGCCTTAAATTGTGGACTATATTCCAAAAATGAGTATGGCTATTTTAGGCTTCAGGATTTTAAGAGGTTCCTTAAACCTGTATAAGTTTTAAAGAGCTGACTTTGTAACTTGAATTGTCTGTAACTTTTAAAAATGAAAAAAGGGGGCTAGATTTTAGTTCCACCTATTCTTGGGGGCTCTGGGGGCATTATAAAAAGAGGGCTACCTTTATTTGCACTGCTGCTGTACATCCAGCATAGGGCATAGAATTGACACTTATCTGGCTTTCTGAAGTGGGCAGAGGTGTAGATTACTTGCTTTCAAGGCTAATCAGCTATGTTTGCTTAGGAGCATGGAAGATGTCATTTAAAATGACCTATTAAAATAAAAAGACCTATGGCTTTTATGCAAAATCCTTGAGGCGAAATTGTAACTAATCTGCTTTTTATTTTGTAGTGATGGAAGGGCTGGATTTAAATCATATCTCCTATTGGCTTCCCTGGCTGAGTCTAATGAATCTACTTTTTGATTCTCATATGGGCTTGACTTCTTTTAACAGTCACTCAGGATGCTATAGATCAGGAAAAAAATCAGATTATACAGATGGAAGGTTTCGAAACCAGGCTCAACAAAGTTACAGAGAGTTGGGAAGCATGCTGTTGTATCACGGCTACTTTAGTCATAAAATGCCCAGCTCAACATTAGCTGTTGGGGAGTCTTAACTCCAACTGTTTCTCTTGATTTACACAAATGAGAAGGGGTTAGATACTTTCCAGGATATCCTTGTCTGCCTCTCATCAAAGTGGGTGCCTGCAGTTTGTTTCATCTGTCATTTGCCTGAACTGCAAAGAACTCAGCACAACACACAAAACTTGGATGCCGGTGGAAGAACAAATTCTACTTTTTACAATTCATATGCATCTTTTCATTTCCAAAATAGAGAAAAACAGTCTGGCCAATTCAGTTCAGAGCCTCAGGATTCTATACTGTTGGAACCAATGGCTGCAGTTCTGGAGTCCACAGAGACTAAATGTGCCTGGATTGGTTCAAAAACATTCAGCAATTTTCCAACTAAACAAAAAGACCTGAAGAATATCATGAAAATATTAGCATATGATCTACGAAGGCCATGTAGTTGCAAGTGTGAGGAGCAGTTATTGGTTTGCTGCAATCCTTGTTTTAGTTACCATACAAAACTGCTTTTTATGAATAAATCAAAACACTGGAAGATCCTATAAGCTGCTGCAATTGTGTCACATTCTACCTATACACAAGACCATGGATATATCACTAGCATGATATCTTAGAGCGCCTGAGTAGATTCTTTGGACCCTTCTGAGATTGATATCACAGAAACAATTTAGTCAAAAGCAAGCATCCAATTGACAGCAAACCTAGTTTCTTCTTCAGGAACCCTCCCTAGTTGTATTCATCACATGTAAGTCACGTGACCATTTTGGCTAGGAGGACAGGATGTCACCAGTACTAAATTATTTGGGGGCCTGCTATTATTACCCGTTGGAATTCTATTATGGAATCTGAGCCTTTTGTACAGAGTTGACAGCACTCTCTATGTCTTTCCTGGCCTCCCTATGGAGTTTGCATGCTGATCAGGTTCTAGCATCTGGTTTCTCCAGTGCATTTTTGTGACCTTTTTGTGACCTGTTTAGCCTGACTTATTCCCTTGCTTGGCTATGACTCAAGGAGAACTAGATCAAAATCTCCATGCACAAGTACCCCAGATGATTTCTTGTATGACTCAAGCTACAGAGCTATAGCTACAGAAGGAACTGCCTAGTGGCCAGGTCATCCAGGGAACAAATTATTTCCCTCTTTAGAAGTTACTCCAAAAAAGTAAAATAAATACAATTATTTTGTTTTCAACCAGCTGGTAAATGAAAATGTCTTGATTTTGTAAAGCTCCAGGAATATGCCCTGTAACATGAGTTTGTAAAGTAAAAATTCAGATTCTTCCTAAACTTACTTAACAAATCTAAGTATGGTTTGATTTTAAAATTGAATTTAGCATTTCTGATTCTAGCCTGTTTAATTTTTAAATATTCTAGTGGAAATTGATGATTAGCCTTTCTGTCTTCCACTTGTTCAATTGTTTGGGTAGTTAAAGAGGAACCAAGGAATAGGGCTTCAATCTTGTCTAAGTTGCAACTGTTAGGCCTATATAACAATGTTTTTCAAATGCCGGAAACATGCTGGCTAGGGAATCCTGGGAGTTGAAGTCTTGACACGGTCAAGTTTGAAAAACACTGGTCGAGATTCTCACTTATTTAGCTGTAGAATATGAATGATTAGTCATTAAAAAAAAGGACAGCTGCAAAACTGTCTCTAAAATATATTACACTGAAGCATCCAGTCCTTTTCTCCTTATGCTGGAGGATACATTTCAATTTGTCAATGAATTATGCCTATGTTGTCCTCTCTTGATGTATGCATGTACCTTTTGGGCCTCTGTTCTCCAAACTACGGCTGCCTTCCAGATTTGTTTGACTACCATTCCAAGAACCCCAAACATGGAGTGGGCCTTGGGCTTTTGGAAATTATAGGAAACTCATCTGGAGGAAAATCAAGAATCTAAATATTTAGCGAACTGCATATCATCACCTACAACTATCTAAATTTCTGCAGGAAAAATGTATTTCACATTCTCCATCAGCCCATTTGGGCAATTACTATATTTTCACCTCTATCTTTAAAACTGATTAATTCCTCTGGCTGGCCTACCGTTCTGCCAAAAATTGTTCTATGTTTTGATAGGAAGTGTTGGATTATGGAATATAAATGCCTTGAACCAAACCATAGAGTTTATCTTATTTATAAAATAAATGCTCAGATAAGCAGGAAACAAAATTATTCTTATCAGCACAAAGATAAAATATAAATAAAATAAATATAAATTTTAATTTATTTCCTAAATTTTCCTACTTTATTATTTACTTTATTTAAGTTTATTTTCTCTAAAGTAGGGAATACTGTATTAAATAAATAAAAGTAAATAAATTACTTACTTAATCTACCACTTATATCAAAAAGAACACCCTAGACTAGTATTTCTCAATCTTAGTGCCTTTTAGATGTGTGGGCTTCAGTTGGAGTTGAACGGTTGAAGTCCAACATCTTAAAGGTTCTGAGATTGAGAAACACTGCCCTAGAACAACATATTTCTTTCAACTTATTTTGTTGAGGAAAATCGTATTAACATTTGGACTAACTTCCCAGTTGAAAGCCTGACTACAGGAAACATCACTGGCACTCAAAATGTGCCTGGCAGATTCCTTGAGTCTTTTTTTTAGATTAATATAGAAACTTCTTGCATACCTGAATGAAGCTCCTTCACCAAATATGACATTGTATTGGTAATTGAATCAGCTGCTACCAGCAAATCGTTACGGAGATTCCGCCGAGTTCCTGAGAAAGGGTAATGAAGTAATATGCAAATTCATTGTTCTAAGAAAATTAGTGGTTGTAACACTACTATAATACTTTTATATTGTAGACTTCAATAACTAAAGTTGAAATTATTTTTATTCCCCAATCCAAAGATAAGTTCCAGGAAATATTGGTGAGAATCTGCATCTATTGTAGATGTAAAGACTGGTCCTAAGGGTGTTTTCCTGCTTATGCATTCATTGACTATGTAGATCAGTCAACAAGTGATTTGACTCCTGGCTCATTATTTCAAAGTGACCAAGCTGAGCAAGAGAAGAGGTATGGTTGCTGTGGCAGTTCCTTGGAAGGTGGTGATGATGCAGCAGCAACAATAGCCTCTGTGCCTTCCATAAGTAAACAGTTGGCCTTCCAGGAGGCTACAGGCAGCTGTGACTTGAGTTGGTGGTGGTAGTTACCATAGTAACAGGGAGGGCAGTACTGTGCTTCCCCCAAAATATGACCTAACCCAGAAGTAAGTCCTAGATTGATTTTTACATGTGCGCCCAATATAAGCCCTACCCCCAAAATAAACCCGAAGACCCCGCCCACTCCCGGGTGCACGGGTAAAAATTAAGCTAGGATTGGGATGGGGTTGAGTTTTCGGACAGTTGCAGCCAAGCCTCGCACACCCTGACATCTGCCTTTTTGGCCCATTTCTTCTGCAGTTGGCAAGGCAAGGCTTTCCTGAAGGCCTCTGCAACCGATAACAGAGCTCCGGATCAATCCGGACCTCTGTTATCAGCCGCAGAGGCCTTCAGGAAAGCCTTGCCAGCCACAGAAGAAATTCCTGAAGGCCTCTGACAGCAAAAAGGAGGCTGGGGGCAATGCGTGCAAGTGAGAGGAGTCAGTGGATGACATCCCCCCCTCCCCCAAAATAAGACCTGGTGTGTTTTTTGATGGAAAAAAAATATACGACAGGGTCTTATTTTGGGGGAAACATGTTATTAGAAAAAAGATGTGATAGCAAGAGATCATCAGCCACAGCTGCTTCTGTTGCCTGCTGCAGAAGAGCTCCTGCCAACTCTCCCAACTGCAGTTGCTGGAGAAGTCACACAAAGAAGGAATGAGGTAGTCAGCAGCAGAAACGACTGCCATAGCAGCAGTCCCAGTGGGGACTTTGTGTACATCCCAGGCAATGTCAACACTTGCTGTTTTCAACAGGCTATGGGGTTGACCTCCCAGAAGTACTTGGGCAATCAGATGCTGGCAGTGCAGTGGATCTGAGCATGTTCCATCTCTCACTGCTTAAGAGAAAATTAACAAGCAGTTTGCATGAATCATACAAAATTGGCTAGATAATAACCCTGCATATATGAAACACAGAGAAACCAGTGGAATAATAGCAGAGCACTTACAGGACACAGTGGATGCTTTTGGCGTTCTTCTGCAGAAGTGTATTTTAAAATACTTTCTAAAAATAAATTGTGCACTTTAGAGCTTTTATCTTCTCCTCTCCCCACTCCTTCCCTCATACTTTTATGTATATATGCACAAAAGGGTATGTGTATTATGGCTCACCTTGTGCAAATGCTTCCTGGACGTCTCCTCCAACACCAGTAAGTGAATCTTGGGGTACATGAGTTGGGGTAGAACCGGCAGATGTGGACCTGACTGGCATTGGCATAGAGCGGCCAGTCCCATGGGTGGGGGAAATATGTGGAGAACCAGCTGCCTGAGCCTAAAATAAATGGGAACCCCAGTTACTACATTTCCTTCTTGAATAGCTCTTCCAAAATAAAACTCCAGCAGCATATGTTGCAAAGATGAGTGACAAATCCTCGGAAAACATTCTCTGTCTCATACAGCATGCAAACTCTACTACTGGTACATGCAGTTTGTAAACCATTAAGGGATTCTTTCTAATCTGGTGTACTATCAACTCCAGACAACATGGTCCATTTGGAACTCATAGTTTGGAGAAGGCTGCATTAAGACAATCCTGGATTTATTGGGAGTGAAGGCAACTGTCTCATGTCTAGTTGGGCAATTTGATCTATTTCAGCTTTCCCCAGAATGGGGAGTTTTCCAAATATGAGAAATAGCTTCCAGGCTTCTCAGAATTGACCATGCTGGCTGAGGAATTCTGTGATATGAAGTCTACCAAGTTATGGAAGGTTTACTTAATCTAGTAGCCACAGCTCACTATGATACCAGGAAAAAAAGAAATAATTTTACTTCCTAAAAGCCATTCCACTTGGGCTTGGACATGAAATCTGGATCTTTTTGCCCACAAATAAATATGCAATCACTAAGGAAAGGATCCTTCCTAATTATAAATAAACATCATGCTGTGTTAGATGGTCAATGTATATTATTCTCTGTTCTAAGGCAGGGATCATCCAGCCTACTAAAGCCAAATTAGCTAAACACAATTGCAATCACATTAAATGCTATGCCACATTAATATGGCTTAATGGGTGGTCTGGTTCACACTACATGCAAAGACAATAGCTGTGTTTCTACAATACACTCAACTGCAAAGAACTCAATTCCATTTAGCCAAGGCTTGCATGTCGTGCGAACGCAGCTGGTAAGAGATGCTTATCTGACATTCCAGAGGCAGCAGTACTATACCACAACTGACCTAGCCAATACTAAGATTGAAATGCCCAGAATCATGGATCTCATCAATCTCTGCCTCCCTACTTACATTTAGTTTGATGGACAAATATACCAGCAGATCAGAGAAACTCATAGCAGAGACTGTAATGCAGGATTTAGAAACTACAGTACTCCATGCAGTATACAGCCAAAAGTATGGATGTAGATATAACTTTCATCATAACACAAAGGGCACAATTAGAGAGAAGACGCATGAAACAATCAAGAGCTTCAGTGGAATAAAATTCACAAAAGAAGAAAACAACATTATCCTTCCTCAATATCCTCATCAACAGAAGATACAATGGCAATTAGAAATGCAAGGGTTGAAAACAACCCACATTAACTAAGGGCTTCATTACCAAAGTAACAACTTGTAGCCTCCCACAAAAGGAGCTTCATAAGTACGTTATTCAGATGAGTATAAATGCACTACAACAACCCAGAACACAGGAAAAAGGAAACAGACTGCTAATACCACATCTTCCAAAAATCTGAATACCTATACATTTATCAAAAAGTGTTTGACTACTCAACCCACTACAACTAACACGAACTATGAAAAGTATAATACTGCCATACATCAAAAACATCTCAGAAACAACCAACAGACAATTAAAATGCCTTGACATCACCATAGCAAACAAACTAACTAAAGCCCTCTGAAACACTCAAAAGACCTAGTAGCCAAAAAAGGAAAACTAATCACTTACGACATACAGTACTGTAATAGCTACTATGTAGGATAGACATGGAGAAAACTAGCAGAATGCATCCAACTAGAAGCCAGAAGACACAATGAAAACTTCTTAATATCACAATTCATGGTCAGATTCAATCATAGATGCAACTGGAAAATTGTGAACATCCTAGACCAAGTTAAATCCAAAATGCTAGGGAATTTCTGGAAATTTGGCATTCAGACCAATCAGCCATCAATAGACACATAGAGACAAACCACGTTTACAGACCTTTCAAGAGAGACAATAAAAAAGCTAAGAAGGAAAAAGAAAGACCAGAACACATCCTTGCCAGCAACAAACAGTGAGATAAGCAGGGATTAATAACAGACAAACGAGCAATCAGAAAACAATATCCTAAGGAGAAAACCACATCCCCACCAACACTGGCAGGAGAAGCTGGTATACAAAGAGAGAGCAAATCCCATACCCACTAGCACTCATTATGCATCTGCAAGCAAACAACTAAGCTCAGAGATGATCAAGGACATGACAATGGGAAAGAATGACAGAAAGCTGACAATATATATTACAATCAATTTACTCAGATTACTAGCATTACAGATTAAGGTCCTACAACTGACTTCTACCTGGACTAGTGAATAAAGATGGAAAACTGGAAACTAGCACTGCTAGGATTAACATTTATATGTTCCAAAAGCACCTAGCAGTAAATTTTCTATGTTCCAAAAGCACCTAGAAGTAAATTTTCTATGTGTCACTATACCTATTTTTAATTTTTAAATCCAGAATGCTTTAATTGTTTTATTGTAACATTTTGTACTTAATTGTATTTCAAATTATGAACGTATCAAATATTTTTCATTTGTTATAAGGTAACATATTGAATATACAGTAAATTACTCCAGTTGTATAAACTGAATTCTACTTTGACGTATTATCTAAATATCAAGCGAAGAATAAATTTGATTTCCTCAGCTGAAGTTCGTATTCTGTCCCAAAGGCATAAACATTCAGTGTACACACAACTAGTATTAAATGATGCATAAACAAAGCTGGTAATGTGTTCTCAAGGGGGCTGTATGTGTTGTATTCACTGTCCACATATGAATGGGTTCTGGAGAATTAGCTCTTCAGTTATGTTGGTATAATACTGAAAAACCACAGGGGAGAAAGTTTGGAGATTAATTGAATCATTGGCCTGGCAGGGGGATGTAAGGGACTGTTGAGACCTGATTTGCATTACAGAGTCTGTGTTGCTCTATGAATATATACTTTGGTCAGAAATAATTTGAATAACATAGCATTGATGCCATGATTGGACAGGATCCACAGTTGTACTCACCATGAAAATTAAATTGGTGCTATTTGTATTTTGTTACGAATCACTTCTTGTGAATGAGAATGAAAATATTTCTGATTTTCCAGATGGGGAAAAGATCAAGTTATGCAATGAATGCACGCTGGGACATTATAGCTGACCAAATGGATATGAAGGAATATAGACCAAAACACTTCAACTCTTGGGAGGCTGCCATCTCTAAGTCCCAACTAGAAGCAAGCACTGACCTTTCTTGCTGCTTTGTCTAGCTACGTAATAATTTAAGACAGGGGTGTCAAACTCACGGTGTCACATTGTCATCACGCGACTTATCGTGACTTTTCTCCCTTCGCTAAAATGGGGGTGAGCGTGGCCAGCACATGATGCATCTGATGCATGATGCAGGCCATGACACCCCTGATTTTAGGAGTGAGCCCTTTTTATACCAAACTCAGCTTTTGCTAGGTTTGAACTGAAAATTAATCACGTTTCTTTTGCTCATAAAGTTTTTTTTTTTTTTACCTGTTACTTCCTTTCCAACTGTGTTATTTTATTAACTGTGTAAAGTAAGCTTTGCAAGTCTTGTCTTTGATGCGCACACAAATGGTGAGACACACTCACAGCTGTTTCGGACTGAGCATTTTTGACTAATACTGTAATTACCTATTAACATGCATAACCTCTGCACAGCCTCCCATATTCAGTTTGTGTCATTTCATCTGGTTTTTATTCCTCTGTTTTCTTTACCAGAAGCAGCTCCCACCTTTGAATCACATTTGCTACTATGGAAACCTTACTGTCACAGAGTCTGGAAAGGAATCTGATGCCCTTAGAGGTGAAACAAAACCAGCTTTTACAAAGCTACGTTTGAGGAGTGCCGTGGTGGTTGACCCCTGATGCAAGTCTTCACTAGAATAAACTCAGGTAGGCTTTGTACAAGTCCCCCCCCCCCTCGACACTGCAGTTGCTGGACTTCTTTTGCAATGATTTCTACCAAAGTAAAGGCAGATGGCCGAGTCACATAATGGTGGATTTTGCTACTTTTCTAAAGTTTAAGCTGACCTTCAAACAAGATGTATGTAACAGTTAGCTAATAATTGGATTTAATCCTTCCATGGGCTTTTTGGATTTTTTTTGTTCAAATATTACAAAAGAAGATTAAAAACTAACAAAAATTAATAAAGGGAAAAAAAGGAAGAAAGCAAAGAACTAAGATGCAAAAAGAAACAATAAAAAGAAATAGAAAGAAGCTTCCAATTTCTTCTGCAGCAAATCATAGAAATATTATGGTATAATTATCTCTTATTGTTACAAGAAAGCTCTCCTTTCTATTATTTAATATTTTCTAATAATCAAAACTATGAATAAAAAGTTATCTGTTTCTGTTTGATGAAAAATTATATAAGGTGTTTTTAGTCAGCAATAATAGTGTCAGTTTGGTCTGGTGGCGAAGGCACCAAACTAGAAATTAGGAAACTAGAAATTCTAGTCCTGTTTTAGGCACAAAAGCTGGCTTTGAGCCAGTCACTCTCTCTCTCAGCGTAACTTACCTCACAGGGTTATTGTTTTGGGAAAATAAGGAGGCAGAAAGACTTTGGCAGTGGTGGGATTCAAATATTTTAACAACCGGTTCGCCCAGGGTCAGGTTGGCTGTTGTGGGAGGCATGGCCCATCACCACCCTCCAGCTTCGCCACACATGCGGGATGAGCTCCTGTGATGGCCAGCCTGACCCTGGGCGAATCAGTTATTAAATTAACACACACACACCCGGTTATCAAAGTGGATCCTGGGTGCTGCGCTGAAATGGAGAAATGGGAAACGGAGTGGCCAGCACAAGGGAAGGAGGAGGAGCAGGGAGAAGAAAGAGGGAGAGCGGCCTTCTTTCCTCACACCAGCTGCCCAGTTGCCCATTTTTCCATTGTAGCACAGTGCCCAGGATCCACTTCGATAGTAGAGGTGCGTGTGTGTGTGTGTGTGTGTGTGTGTGTGAATGTAACAACCGGTTCGTGTGAACCGGCTGAATCCCACCACTGGACTTAGGTATGTTTGCCACT